ACACACGCCCCCGCACACACACACACACACACACACACACACACACACACACACACACACACACACACACATCCATACAACGCAAATCGGTGTCATTCAGGGGCAACAACCCTACAGGGTTGGTTACACATTTCTGTCTCCAGCAAAAGTCGATAAATAGATAATAAAATCACCCACTACTACGGTACTACCCCATCGCATTCTGAACTCCTTACAAGTGGACATTGTTGCAATTTGTCCACTGGTAAGGAGTTCAGAATGAAATTAGCACAGAGAATATATATTCTCACCATACGCAAATGGGGCTATCACCTTTAGCACAGAGAAAGATACCCGGGCGATTACTTTTCCCGTTATCTCAGACTGAAATTCACTGCATATAATAAACTATTCTAAACATTTTGAACACAATTCTTTTTGGGTAATGCATTTATTAAGGCGTATATGATGCCTCTGCCATTTCCAAAAAAAGAAAAAACACTTGGTTATTATCATTTACATAAACCAGGGAATTGGAATCCCTTGTTATGTGGGCCCCCACCGTCAAAGGATTCAAACAGTTATCACCCCAAGCAGGTGGACTTGCGCCTAATTATTTCTCTCGGCTCTCACACACCAGTTGATGTGGCACAGTAATCATTGATTAATATACAATTCAGGCCCTTTCAAGGACCCCCCCCCCCCCTCGAAAAAAAAAAGGAAAAAAAAAACAGCGCCAGTCCATAACAAGATGAGCTGTCAAATAAGATAGAGTCAAGAAGCATTTTCCTAACAGAGTCAGTGATCATGATGTTTTTAGACCTCAGCTTGCGCGTACGAAGGGGCAGCTGCATTGCCTGAATCGCAGCTAACAGATAAGTCTCTGTCCTGGCTTCAAAAAAATGAAGCAAGGAAAGTTCTGCGCCAGTACAGTGAAAGTTCCTCGAGTCCGAAGGGGTTCCGGTTTCCTTAGCGATGGCCGGCGCCAAAACGATCGATGATAATAATACTCCAGTCTCTCTTCTTGCCTCTCAGCGATGCCCTTGCAGAAAAATGTTTGTCACCTACTCCGAAAATTCCGCGGGGGTTGGGCCTATCGGGCCACAATGGCTGGCGGCCCCAGCCAAAAAAGAAAAGGAGTATGCGCCGCTGGCAGTACGGAAAAGCTCGGCACACACTAGGCCCGGTTGTACTGTTGGTTTAAGACACTCTTCAGCCACTGCATGGTCGAGACTCAAACTACCCAGAAATATCATCATCCTATCTGCATGTGTTCTCCACGAAACTGGAAAGACTCGGTAGATCCGGGCTAAGAGCACAACGCCCACACACAAGAAAGAAAACAAAGAGAAAGAGAGGAAGAGAGAGAGAGAGAGAGAGAGAGAGAGAGAGAGAGAGAGAGAGAGAGAGAGAGAGAGAGAGAGAGAGAGAGAGAG